GTGCCTTAACCCCCGCACCACCTGCTGACCCCAGGAAAGTGCTTTTAAATACATTACTGGAAAACAAATAGCAGAGAAAGCAGTGGTATTTGATAAAATATGGTGGCAGGAGTCGTAGACTGGACATTATCATAAGCAGTAACCTAGCATAGAGACCTCTATCCTGCAAGACTCAAAAGTCTTGTTACTTGGAAATACCACCCCAAATAGCATATAGGAATGAGATAGGGAGTTGAAAGCATGGGGGTGCACTCGGTGATTGTCAGTTACATGTTTTACAAACGCCCCAAGAACATTCCCTATATCTACCTTCTCAACACCATTACAACAGCTCTCCAAATGTTTTTTTTTTTTTCATTAAAGCTTATTTATTTCTTCCATGAACAAGAGAGAGAGAAAGGGAGAGAGAGAATACATGCAAGTGAGCACCAGGGCCAGCAAGTGCCATAGTGGTTAGTGCGCTGGACTCCCATGTGGTTGATTGTGGTTTGAGTTCCAGACATAGTGGCTTGAAACTCAGGCTTGGTGCATTTGCCTGTGTGACTGAAATCCCAAGAGGAGAATGGAGGAGAAGGGATTGCAGTGTGGCCACCCCCCATGGGGAGCAATTTCTTGCTTTCTGTCTCCATGTCTCTCTGGCAAGTGCATGCACTCTACAGTAAAAATCTCTCCAAAAAAAGAGAGAGAGAAAGAGAGAGAGAGAGAGAGACAGCACCTCCAGCAGGATTCCCATGTTACAATCCACCTCCAGCCTCATCCAGCCCGGATCAACGACATGAGTATGCCTGGCATGCTCAGACAGGTTTCCAAATGTGAACCAGAATATTCCCACATGGGCCAACCTTGCAGAGCACTAGGCTTTAACTGTGGCACCCACTGTCTAGCCCCCAACCGACTTTTAACATGTGAATTGGGGGGTACACATTTAAACCACACCAGTCTTCCTGATGCTTAGAATGCTCTTTCCTCATCTCTCTGCCTGATCCAATTCCACATGTCCTCTCACACTCAACCCAAGATGCCCTTCCTCCAGGACATCACCTATGAAAATTCCTTCCCGAACATTCCATAGTCATACACTCTCGCCCTGCACCCAGACTCAGAGCGGCTTCCCCCTTCTACAGATGGCTCTGTAGCCTGTGTTCTGCCATTACAGGCATCTCGTAATGTTATACTTTTCCCCTCTGTTCTAGTCTGCAAACTCAAAGAGAGAAACTGGATTTTTATTGTCATCATATAACCAGTGCCTAACACAGCATCTAGGAGAAACTAGACAGTAAATCAATGTTTATTAAGCTGATGTATACAAAACAAAACTACCTCTCCAGCACTGCCCTTTCTCTTGGCTTCAGTCAAGCACTGGCAGTCACCCTTCCTGGGTTCTGGGTCAGGCGCACAAACCCTGGAGGCAGACCATTTGGAATCGATTCTTAGGTCTACCTCTTACTCATGCCATCTTGAAAACTTACGTACCCTCAGTTCTGTGCCTCGGTTGCCTTATGTGTGAATGAAGGATAAGGATAATACCAATTCAAATGATTTTTAATGAAGATGAAATGAGTTTATTTTTTACAAAGACTTTAGAAAATTAGGTAGTAAGTAGCAGAGAGAAGATACCAAGAGCATTAAAATATAATTATGAACACCTGGATAGACCACTGACCTCCAATGTTGCATATTCCAAATGGAACTCTTTTTTCTTTTTTTTTTTTTCCCTTTATGGTTTTTGCCATTGGGTGTCTGTGCTCACCAAAGGGAGACAGTGAGAGTGGTGATGACTATGCCACAATCCTTTCTTCTCCATTTTCCTTTTGGCATTTGGGGAATGCACACACATGCACCTGGCATGATTTTCAAACCACCAGGTCCAGGACTTGAATTGTGTTCAGCCATATGGGAATCCAGTGGCTTAACCACTACAAATTGAATTTTTACACCTATTTCTGTGCCTTTTTTTACTCTTAATAATGAATGGTTACCTGTTAAGGCTTAAAATATATCATCACTC